TCGCCGACTTCGATTTCTGGTTAGTACCCTTTTCTCAGGTCAGCGACGATGATAGATAGGTTTCTCTTTTGATTCAGAGAACACTATGCAATTTTTGTCTCTGGGTTTTAATGGGTTTCTGTGACGATTTAGGGAACAAGACGAAAGGTTTGATTTTTATTTGGTTTGAATCGTTCTTCACTATGATTATTAAACAACTGGTTTGACTACTAAACTAATCATTTTGGTATTAAATTTAATTGAATCTCTCTGGCTGTTTTTATATTGCATATCGACAGAGACATGGATTTCTTTTCAAATTCTTTTCTCGTTTTCTAATTTGGGCATAGCAAAGTGAAGAAATACTATTTCTGGGAAGTTTTTCTTGGCCTAATTGGTTGATTTTGTGAATTCTCTTTCTATCTTCAGGATTAAGTCTCTGTCAAAGATTCTGTCTGTAAAACGAAACATCATGCCTCTGTTTGAGCTTTTAAGGCTCACCAAAGCTAATCTTGAATCTGCTCAAGACAAGAACCTTTCTCCGTGAGTCAACTCACTTGTCTCTCTTCCAGATTTGTCATGTTTTGAGTTCATCAATTTCATGGTTTTTTGTTGTTGTTCTTATCTTAAAACCAGACCTGTTGAGGAAGTTGTGGAGCTGGTATGGGAAAATGGTCAGATTTCAACTCAAAGCCAGTCAAGTAGATCGAGGAACATTCCTCCACCACAAGGTATTCATCAAGCAAATTCTTCAAGGGTTAGGGAGATCGGAAACGGCCCGAAAACAACGATGGTGGATGAGATCCCTATGTCAGTGCCGTCTTTAATGACGGGTATGAGTCAAGACGATGACTTGGTTCCATGGTTGAATCATCATCGATCCCTTGATGGATATTGCTCTGATTTCTTACAAGATGTGTCTCCTGTTACTGTCAACGAGCAAGAGAGCGATATAGCGGTAAATCAAACTGTTTTCCCTTTGTTTCAGAGACGAAACAGTGGCAACAAATCAGCTACTGCTGCTTCTTCATCGCAGTATAACGGTTTCCAATCACATTCTCTTTATGGAAGTGATAGAGCTAGAGATCCTGCTAGCCAACAAGCCAAACAGGATAGGTTTACTCACACGCAGGAACCGTTAGTTGCTACTAACAAGCCTGGTTTGATAAACTTTTCGCATTTCTTACGCCCTGCAACTTTGGCTATGCCGAATAACCCTCAAAGCGCTAATGAGAAGAGTCCTCGAAGCTCGCCTAAGGTGTTTCAGACCAGAGTTCTTGGTGCTAAAGACTCTGTAGATAAGGTTCTTAATGAGTCTGTTGCTTCTGCTACGCCTAAAGTGAACCAAAAGGCTTGCCTAATTTCAGAGGACTCAGGTAGAAAAGACCAAGAGAGTGAAAAGGCGGTCGTATGTTCTTCCGTTGGTTCGGGTAATAGTCCCGATGGTCCATCCGAAAGTCCTTTGCTTTCTGTAAAAAGAAAGCATTCAGATATTCAAGACATTGACTGTCATAGTGAAGTGAGTGAAACTCATTATCATTTGATTCACTTTAGAAACTCGTTTCTTTGCTGTTTTCTTCAGTGTTGATCTTCAATGTTGTTGAGCAGGATGTTGAAGAAGAATCAGGAGATGGAAGAAAGGAAGCAGCTCCATCTCGAACGGGTTTGGGTTCAAAGAGAAGCCGCTCGGCCGAAGTACATAATCTGTCTGAAAGGGTGAGTGAGTGAAGCCCACAAAGTGTTTTTTTTTTTGTTCCATTCTCAAACTCACAAAGTCTGCTTACTCTGTTTGGTAACTTACTGTCTTCAATTTTTCAGAGACGGCGTGATAGGATTAACGAGAAGATGCGTTCTCTTCAAGAACTCATTCCAAACTGCAACAAGGTTGGTTTGGGATAAGCCTAAAAACCGGAGTTTTTTTCGTATTTTATCAGCTTCACTAACTAGGAAGCTTTATATGTTTGTAAAGGTGGACAAAGCTTCGATGCTTGATGAAGCAATCGAGTATCTCAAGTCACTCCAACTTCAAGTACAGGTAAAAAAACACACTCATTACTCCCTTGAAACCTTATAAAAATCACGCAAACTAATAATATCGACATAATCATGATCAGATTATGTCAATGGCTTCTGGTTACTACATGCCACCGGTTATGTTCCCACCTGGTATGGGGCATTACCCGGCTGCAGCAGCTGCCATGGCAATGGGTATGGGAATGCCTTACGCAATGGGCTTGCCTGACTTGAGCCGAGGCGGTCCCAACCACGGACCACAGTTCCATGTCTCGGGGATGCAACAGCCAGTGTCGATGGCGATTCCACGTGCTTCTGGTGGTGGTTTCTTCCCGGGTTCTTCGACGATGGATGTGAACAAGAGTGATGATGGTTCGACTAGAGATTTATCGAGTTCTAAAGATCAAACGACGACGAAGAACAGTAATAGTTTGAAACCAATTAAGAGAAAACATGCTTCTTCTGATCAGTTTTGTGGATCGTCGTGACATATTGTTAATGTTATTACCATATTATTCAAACCAATCATCAATTCTACACCCCAAAAATAAATAAAATTCATTTGTGTTTATTCCCCGTCGTAATTGATTTTCCCTTCGCCGGTCAAGTTCTCTGCTCCGGCATGGGACTTAATACTTTCTCTCAGCCACTGATTTCACTCTCAGCGTCACCGACTGAAAAATCTATATATTGTAACTAGAATAAATTCGGATTTAACAATATTTTTTGATGTAGAAACTGACTACCAAAACAAAAAATAACCGACTACATGAATTTCACGAAAGCTGGTGGTTAAACAAGTGTGATGGGCTTATCAGCCCAATTCGTTAAACAATAATTACGAAAATATATTTAGTACTGAAAAAGGTGGTCTAGTGGAGAACAACAAAAAGGGTTTTAGATTTCATTTCGATTTATAGCTACAAATGAAGGTGGATTAGACAGCTCTAACTAATTACGAACACCAATGAATTAGGATATAAGCAATAGAAAACAGACAAGTAGAGCACATAGGGAGACAAATCAAGTAAAAGAGGTTTTAATTGAAACTTGAAAGAGAAGAAAATGATGTTAATGTGGCAAAGCAAAAGAAAAGTTCAACATCATTTTGCTTTTGGCCACATTCATATATCAAAGATTATCTATGATTATGTCTTTTTTCTTCTCACATCCCTCACCTATTAAATTGGGCCATATTAGAGAAAAAATTCAACCATCCAAGCCCTTTTAATCAAACTTGAAATATTCGTTGCCTTCTTTTCTAAGTTTGATCTTTCTTTTTTTCTCCACCACAAATCACAGAACACAAATCAAATGATCATTTTAGGAAAAGCAAATGAGGCAAGCAATTAGTTAAAATAGTATAACTATATACAAGCACATGGATTAAAACTTTTTTCACTAGAAACTATAATACTCTAAAGCTCTAACTAGTGACATTTAGGAATGTAAGGAATGAGAAAAAACATAATCTTTCTACTCATTCTTAATATTTTTTTACCATTTATAAGTAATAAAGATTTAATGTAATTCATTTTCATTCCTAATAGTATTAGAGAATATAAAACAAAAGTATTCCACATCTAATTTGACAAGGAACAAAAAAGAATGCATTTTTATGTAAATATTTTCTTTTTATTATTTGAAATATTTTTTTTTTGTTTCATTCCCTCTCTACAGTAATTCTTTTTAATTTGTTCAATACAACCTTTTCATTCTTTTTCTTCTTCATTCCTATTATTTTTCGAGTGGTTACCAGTTATAGGCAGTGTTTTGAAAACCGGACCGGACCGGGGGTCGGACCGGGTTCAACTGTGAACCGGCCAGCTAGCCGGGTTGGGTTGACTCGGGTTTGAGATTTTTTTTTTTAAATTTCCATTTTTTCATATTTAATTTTGTTTATGATTACAATTTTTAGAAACAAATATTAGTTTTGAATTTAGTTAATTTTTTGTTATGGTTTAAAGTTTTAAATTTTTTTTATACATATAAACTTAACTATTTCTCATTAAACTTTGTTTTTGAATAATTTTTTTGTTATTAAAATGATTTTCTTCATTATTAATTTTTAGAAATATGTTATTCAAAGGCTATATTGTATATTTGGATATTATAGTTATACAAAAACTATT